CACCGCACACACAGTAGACACGTGGGCTTCCTTATTCCTTATCTGATCCTATGGGCCACCGGGACAGAAAGGAATAACGCGAAGCATAGGGATATTATATTTTCTTGTGCTCACATCATTTTGCAGTTTGACATACATCTCTCTCTCCTCACCGCCCTGGGTAGACTCACGACGAGAGACTGGACAGGTTGTACACCACCCCATCGTTTGAGGCCACCACCTCCTTTACTTGTCCAGCACCCTCGACCTAGGACCGTTGTTTGGCTGAAACCCAAGGCCCCTTGGGTTAAGCTAAACACTGATGGCGCATTCGACAGACATACTGGAGCTGTTGGAGGAGGGGGCCTGATTAGGGATCATGGTTGGGCACTCATCTCTGCCTTCCTTGGGCCACTCCGGGCCTCCTCGAGTTATGATGCAGAGATTTAGGCGCTCCAGATTGGTCTTGAGATTGCCGCCTCGATCTCCTCACATATCTGGATAGAGATGGATGTTGCAGCTGTCATCACACTTTTGACATCTGGTCACCAGGGCTCATGGCAGATCCAGCATCCCCTTATGCGCATCAGAGACACCCTCCGCTCGATTCATTACCAGGTCTTACACATATTCCGAGAGGGGAATTGGCCCGCTGATTTCCTTGCTAGCACGGGGGCTTCTATACCCCAGGACGCATTCTTCATCCTGAGGACATTCCCCTTCGGCTTCGGACACTCATTCGAATGGACCAGCAAGAGTACCCATCCTTCAGATTCGGACGACCGTCACCACCTGACCCTGACTAGACTTGTCGTTTTGGACCTCATGCCAGGTCACTCTGACCAGGACGACCTTTATGAGGATTTGATGTTAGATCCACATCGGATATTTTGTGATCCTTGTACTTTTTGTTTTTCTGCTTTTGATGTTGTTATTTGTATCTTCGACATTGATGTAGACCATTGACTTTTTAGCTCTATCTAGGCCATTATATTCACAGGTCGGGGGTATAACCTCAACCCCCCATCCCACACTGGGATGTTTAAAAAAAACCTTAATTCACTATTCATCTACTCACATAATTTTAACTAACCATCACATCACATCTTCTCTTTCCTACTTTTACACCAATTTAATTTTAATCATTTTATTTAAAAATATTATTTTAATATACCCACTGACAACTAACCATACAATTTTTTCAAAATTAATCAAGCCAAACTAAAAAAATCTAAACAAACCAAAACAAATTCATAAACAAACATGCTCTATGTCTCCAGACTACTGTAGATATTTTATTAAGAGAAAATAAATACACTCGTGTTTACAAAAAACTCTCAAACTCACTTCACACCTCACAACTAAAAAATACAAACATAGGCTAAATTATTTTTATTAGCTCATTCTTTTTTTTTCTTCTTGTATTTTGGTTGTGTTTTTGGTGTGTTTATGTGCATCAGAATCCCCTCTATTTATAGAAGGGAAGTGTACATTTTTTTTCAACATAAGGATGCTTCATATTTTTCAACAAAAAACAAGCGGCTGCTGCTACAATTTTTTAAGAATGGCTGCCTCTCTTCATTGTCAAAAATGGCGGCTTAACAATCTCCCACTTGAGGACAGATTTCAATCTGTCCTCACACCTCAATTACTACAGTAGTCTTCTCCGGTCTGTTATCTAGCAAGCCAACTGATGTTGAGGTAAATTTCAGTTTGTCAATGGTCACCACCTTCGTTAGCATATCTGTCGGGTTCTTGCTTCCTACAATCTCTTTCAAAGTCAACACTTCATCTTCAAGAAGAGATATGATGAATGATATTGTATGTCAATGTGCTTAGTTCTGGAGTGAAATATTGAGTTCTTTGCCAGATGTATTGCACTCGGACTGTCACTGTGCAAGACACTCTCTTTTTTAGTGAACCCAACTCTGCTAACAATCCTTGAAGCCATATCAGTTCTTTACTGGCTTTTGTTATTGCTACATGCTCAGTCTACATAGGGGATAGAGCAACAATCTTTTGTATCTGCGACATCCAACTAAGAGTTGTAGCTCCGATAGTAAAAATATAACAGATGGTGCTTCTTCAGTGATCAATTTCACCTCCAAAGTTTGCATCTACGTAGCCCTGTAACTTCAGATCCCCTTTTCTAAAATACAGACACTTTTCTGTTGTGCCCCGTTGATATCTCAAAATCTATTTGACTGCTTCCCAATGAACTTTTCCTAGATTTGACATAAACCTGCTAACAACTCCCACTGCATGGCCAATGTCTGGCCTCGTACAGACATCGCGTACATTAAACATCCAATGGATTAAGCATAAGGAATCTTAGCCATGAACTCGTCTTCATATTTTGTTTGAGGAGACTGATCCTTGGATAGACGAAAATGACTGGAAAAAGGTGTACTGACTGGTTTGGCCTTGTCCATGTTAAATCTCTGCAAATCACGGTTGATGTACTCTGCCTGAGATAATTGCAAAACTCCCTTTTGCTTATCTCTCGTGATTTTCATTCCAAAAATCTTCTTTGTTGGGCCTAAGTCCTTCATGTCAAATTCTTTTGACAACTGCATCTTTAGTTTTCTGATGTCTTACATATCTGATCCCGCTACTAACATGTCATCGACATAAAGTAGAAAGATGATATCGTTGGACTCATACTTCTTGAAGATACAACAGTGATCAGCATTGCACTTCTGGAAACCATCCTTATGCATGAAGCCTTCGAACTTCCTATACCACTATCTTGGAGCTTGTTTCAGGCCGTACAAGCTCTTCTTCAATTAGCACAACATATCCTTCTTTCCTTCTGAAAAAAAAAAAAAAAAAACCTTTAGGCTGGTGCATATAGATCTCCTTATATAGGTCTCCGTGAGGAAATGCAGTCTTCACGTCTAATTGCTCTAGGTAGAGATCTTCACTTCGAAACCCTCCTCCCCCAAATTTCTACGCCCACCTCTAAACATAATCGAAATTGTGCCTCTCTCAGTGACGGATCTGGCTTGTCGGTGGGCTGCTCTTACCCGTACACCCATGGCTCAGCTTGTGGTGCTTCTCCTCTTTTTCAGCTCATGGATCTCCTTGGGCATCGATTCCTCCGATTTCTCAGTGTCGGTTCGTGCTCTGACGGCGTTCTTGGGAGGAGGGGATGGGAGGGGTGCGTCAACGGCGATTGGGTGTGGCTCGAGGTGTCTTCTCACTTCTGCTTTCCAGTTGACCTCGTTTTGGGCTTTGCCGTTGCTCGAGGGTGTCGTCGTGTGTTCTTGGGTCGCTGGCTTCTTTGTGCTGCGTTGGAGTTGGGTTGTGGTCTGTTTCTAGGGCCGAGAGGAGCGTCCGTGAGTTGCACCGGTGGTTTCGGTGTGGCTGGAGCATTGTTGTCGATCTTGAGCCCTTCTCCCTGGATCTCTGGTGTTGAGTTCGAGGGATGACTGGTGTTCCGAAACTGGCTAGTGGTGTTAGCCGAGTTCTGGACGGCAGTGGCTTGTGGGTCAATATCGGTGTCTTTCGGTTAGAGAGCGGGTCGGCTTTTGGTTTTGTTTGGGGACTGGGACTACGTCTTTGCTAGGCAGTTCGACAGTGGCGGGTATGGTCCTCAATCTTCGGACTTCCCCTTGGAGTCGGCTTTCGTCCACTGGTTTAGAGCGGTCTCTTTGCTGAGGGATGGCACGTTTTAGCTTTAGTTTTCTGTCTCTTTGCTGAGGGATGGCTCGTTTTAGCTTTAGTTTTCTTAGTCTTTTGTTTGCTGCTTTGTTTTCGTTCATTTTGTGTCGTTGGTGCTTGCGTTGTTTAGGAGTGTTTTAGGTTCCTCTGTACGCCCGAGTGTGAACTTATTATCCTGTTGGGATCGTAGACACATGCATTACCCTTTTGGGGTCGTTGTGTTATGTTTGAGTATTACCCTGTTAGGGTCGGTTATAGGCGGTCTTCGGCCTATGCTCCCAGTTCATTTAGCCGTTGACAGTTGTATTCAGCCAGTGACTGTACTTTTGCACACTTATGCGCTTTTATATAATATCTCTAACGTTTTAAAAAAATAAAATAAAAAATAAAAATATATGGTTAACCAAAAAAATCCGTTTTGAGTGATATATATGTATGGAAGCACACCCTAAAGGCATGCTTGTTTATGGAATAATTTGCTCACATTTATTTCATACTCAAAATCTAACTTAACTGCAACTCAACTCCACTATCCATAATAATATTTATATAATTAAATAATATAAACCAATCATTTTTTATATCACATCCCCTATGATGGTAGTATTTTCAATTTGATTTCGTTCCTATTCTACTTTCTCAAAAAACAGGGGCATTACTAAAAGTAAAAGATTTCTTCGTTCTTGATAGCTATTTACTAAATCGTCGGGTAGGAACATACTTTGGATTGAACTCGTGGGGAGTACTTCTTAATCTTTTCTAACAAGTTAAAGACACAATTTGAATTACTTTATCTATAATCTATAAAAAAATATCCTTTTGGAAAATTTTCAGGCCTCTCTATTGACAGAGTCTGATATCTTTAATTCACTATTCATCCATTCACATAATTTTAACTACTTATCGTTTCCAATCATTTATCTCCTACTTTTACATCAAATCAATAATGACCATTTTATTTTAAATATTTTTTAATACATTATTAAAATCTCACTAACTACTAATCATACCTTTTTTTTTTTAAATTTAACGCTAGTTAATGAAAAAAACTCATTTTGAGCAAAATTATTTCATAAACAAGCATGCCCTAAGAATTCATTAGTTACTTCATTCAAAACTCAATCAAACGACAATTTGTATTCCATACCACTTATACACGACAATTGAATCTCATTCAACTAAAGTGATTTGTCCTTCTGTTTCCTTCAGATCACCGGATGACAACAACCAACGCATGAATGATCATTTAAAACTTTGCTGCAATTTAGTCAACTTTCCATTGCCACCAGACATTTTAATCCCCTTCATTCTAAACCAATGCCAGTCCAGTATAAATTCTCAAACTTAGTTTCCTGCATTCAACCAGTGCTTCTTCTGAACTGATTAAGAAGCTGGAAAAAAAATTCGAGAACGAACTTAGCAGCAATTAGCATGTAAAACTTAGTCGTGCATAACATAGAGTGTTTCCAATTACTGAAATTTAGAGAAGAAAATAGAAGGATTCTATGTAAGTTCATGGGAAGTGTAAGATCACCAATTAGAAGATGTTTGTATAAATATTATAGTGCGTTGGACTGGACATCAAAATTACTTTTTACCTTGTCTGACTGAATGGACAAATCTATGTAGAAATCTACAATTTCAAACTGTTTATATAACAATAAGATTTCCCTAAATGAATAGTTAATGTGATGAGAGTAAGAGATTCATAAAAACGTTTATAAGACCTATTATATTTTGTTAACGATAAATGGTAACCATAAGTTTAAAGCTTCCCAGCAAAATGATTCTTTCTTCTCGCCCAACAAGAACTCTTGCCCAATAGCCAAAGTTATTAGAATACCATTCTAATTATCTACCTTTCTCTACTAGAGACCCAATAATAATAATAAGAATAATAATAATAATAATAATAATAATAATAATAATAATGATAATAATACTAGAAGAAAATAAAGATCTTCAAAAGGCAATCGGTTCAGATCCCCTGGCAATCACTCCAGATCCCAACATCATCCCAAATCTCTAGATTTATTTTTCTTTCCTTAGTGACTTAATTATTTTTACTATTCGATATACTCCCCACGATCTATGCCTAGATTCGCACAATCTCTATCATTGCCGCCGAACAGCCTTGGCCCCAAGGCTGCAAAGAAGAACTTTTCCGAGTAAACGGCAAAACTATATGACCCTTTTAAAAATATAACACCATCGATTATTTCATTGAGGCCATGTGTGTCATCACGCAGCTTGGAATTGTGAATTCGCCTCTCGCCCTTCATTGGATAAGAGAAGGCAATTTTCCATGTATTTTTCATTGATTAGATGATAAATGCTAGATCACAGCCCGACAACTAGGAAATCCTGTTCAGGAGTAAAAAAATTCCAAACAAGGGGCAGACAACAATCAAATATCATTTATAAGTTGCTCCACATTGATTTTACAAGGTAAACAAGCCTAGTATATAAGTCTAGTAGGCTACTCCTCCCCATCACCAATTGGTTTTGGGATGAAATCTTACTAAGGTGCACCTAGACAATTTCTCACATTTCTATAGGACAACGATTCGTCCGGCGATGCTATACGGTGCTGAATGTTGGCCTATAAAAAGATAACATGTCCAACAACTAAGTGCAGCAGAGATGTGTATGTTGCGTTGATTTTGCGGGTACACAAGAAGGGATAGAATCCGAATGAGGATATTCGAGATAGGTCGGGGTGGCCCCAATTGAGTAGAAATTGGTTCAACATCGGCTGAGGTGGTTCGGACATGTCCAACGGAGGCCTCCTGAGGCACCGGTGCGTGTAGGGGAGTTCTACAGCGGGTCGATGATGTTAAGAGAGGTAGAGGTCGGCCTAAACTCACTTGGGAAGAGTCGGTTCAGAGAGACCTTAAAAATTGGAATATCTCCAAGGATTTAGTGGTGGATAGGAGCGCTTGGAGGCTAGCAATCAACGTGTCAAAACCGTGACTTTTGCTCCTTTCTTTTTTGTTTCAATCTCTTCCTTTTGTTTTGAGCCCGTTTTGTGTTTCTCTTGGGTTTCATCTCTAGCCTACTCCAACTTGCTTGGGACTAAAAGGTTATGTTGTTGTTGTTGTTGTTTAGATAGTTAAATACCATACCCTGTCCACGCGGAAATCTTGGTCTCAGGGGAGGATCCATGTAATTGAGAAACCTCGATGGGTAGCCAAAGTATTCCATCGGTCAATCAAGGGTCGATGTAATTGAGATGGGGCAGGAGAGGGGGAAGCGGCACCCAATCGACGAGTGGAACTAGTTCCGCAAATATCTTCAGGCTGAATATATCGTATAATAAGGTAAGGAATCCTAGTTCATAGGCGAAGGGCTTTTAGGCCCCACCTAAAACTGGCACTCTAGATCGCTATTTTAAGCATTTCAAGTAGTAGCACTCACCCTCTTATGTGTGCTTCACCTGGTGGGACCGCACCCTCTTTCCCCGGTTCTAATTGGTCTGTTGGAATATCACTTGTGAGTTATCCCACATTTACTCTACATGGTAAACGAGCCTAGTAGACTACTCGTCTTTGGGATGGAACCTCCCACATTTTGAGTTGGTGGCCGGACACTAGACGACGCAGTGGTCTTATTTCGAACAATTTGATGTTTTATGATTACTGAGATATATCGATAAAATAATAATAGAATTAAGAGAATAAAATCTTCGAAGGGCAATCGGTCCAAATTCCAAAGGCATGCATTCCAAATCCCAAAATCATCCCAAATCTCTAATTTTATTTTTCTTTCCTTGGAGACTTAATTATTATTTATTGTTCAATATACTCCCCCGCAATCTATGCCTTGCTTCACCTGATAGATGACCTAAGGTGATACAAATATTCAGAATCTAAGAACCTTACAACAACAGAAGTCTATAGGTATTGAACACACAATGAATGTTATGTAGTAAACTTGTTAGTATGAAATCAAAACGAACAAATGTTGATGCCACCTATTGAGATGATGGTCACAAGCCCTAGAGGTTTGAGCTACTGTTTTCAACATTTAAATGGACTATTAGATGCAAAAGTCCATTTCAGGATAAGAATGGACTTTCGAATTACTGAACATAAACTTTTTGAGAAGTCCACAATAGAAAATTACTTTTTCTAAATGGATTTTCGAATTCCAGAATGTCCATTTTGAATAAAGAACATAAACTTTTGGAAAAGTCCACAATATAAAATTACTTTTTTCTAAACAGACTGGTGCAAAAGTGCTACCAAACAAGCATTTTACTTTTCTGAACAGGCTTGAGCAAGTGTTTTGCATTTTGGATATGGGTCTGCATTGAGAAAAGGTCATCCAAAATGTCAAGTGGTTGAATGTCAGGGATGCATCATTATACAATTGCTTCAGTATTGCAACTGCATCTACAAGGTTGTTTACTAGAGAAAAATAAGGAAGGGAAACAAAAATGCAAAGAGGAAAAATAAAAAAGAAACAGTGAAGAAGGCTAGTGAAGAAGGCTCCTGATGGATCTAAAACGCATACTACAAACATAAGCAAATGCAAGTAGTCATTTTTAACATTGAATATATTAGCAATGTAAAACGAAAGGAAAGAAAAGTGGTAAGTTTTGATCCTAGGTTATTATTTTCTCGTTTGCAAAATTATACCGATAAGCAACATAGGAGGCCTGAAAAACGAAGTTCACAAGACCATCTATTTTATCTACAATATTAGCATATTATAAACGGTCAAAATATACTGTATTTAAGGAAATTTGCGAATTTTTCCCCAGTATTTTGAAAAACGCTTGAAACCCCTTATATTATATATGATAACACACTCCCTCACATATTAACGGCGTTAAAGAAATCGTTAATATTTCTTTAACAGTGCTATTTTTTTAGTAGTTTATAATTATACCCTTAGAACTAACCATGATAAATGATAAATTCAATTTATTGGATATTATCAAAATATCATGAAAAAAAATACTTTATTAAAAAATGCCAAAGGGAGCCTTCGAACACAATATCTCTTACAACGAAGCACAAGCATCCCTGTTATGGTAAAAACTTTCACTAAAACTGTATAATAATAATAATAATTCAATTTATACCACTTTTAATTGTAAAAGTTATACCCAATTTATTTATTAAAAATGTATTAACTACGAAATAAAAATCACTAAACTAATTAAATGTAAGAATATATTATACTATTCATCTTATCTTGTTTAATTTAACTTATTTTATTTTATCCTATTTTTAATTTGTATTTTTATTTTTTCATCTTAATTTTTTTACATAAATAAATTATCTTATTTACTTTTAATGCAGTATTTCAAATTATTTAGATTTAATTATGTTATTTTTAAATCTAACTACCTTATTTTATTTTAATTAAATTTGACATATTTCTTTATTTTACATTATGTTACTTATTTTAAATACATTTACCGAATTATTTATTTGTCATTTAACTTACTTTTTTTATTATTTTAATTTTCATTTATCTACATAATATTATTCAAATTATTTTTATTTATTTAATTACATATTAATTACAAACTAAAATTAAATAAACTTAATAGCTAAAAATATATTATCTTTTATTTAGTTCTAGTTTGTCTTATTATTAATTATTTATTATATTTATATTTTTATATTATATTAATCATACTTAATTCTAATGTAATTTATCTAATTATTTTAATCATGTTTATGTTATTATGCTTGCTAATTTTTTTTTAAAATCTAAAATTAATGAGAAAAAGTATATCACTTTTAAGTATTACACGTGTGCTAATTTTTTTCTTAAAATCTAAAGTTATATATTTAGTATGCCACTTTTTATTTGTGCGACTTATTTGTGTTATATTATAATATTTTTTTTAACTAACAAAATATAACTACATTAAACATAAATATATCAATTGAGAAATAATTTTATTTTTCTAATGAATTTAAATAAAATATTATTATTTTTTATTATTATAAGGATAAACATAATTTATTTATTTCATATATAGAATATAGATGTCAAATCGAAAATCCTCAAAAGATGATTAATTTGATATATTACATATGTAAAACCGACAAGAAATACAAAAGTTATCAACTTTTTAAAATACATTTACAATTCAATAGCTAATTGAATGAAGCAAATCAAAAGTCGGGGATATATTAGTCACTTAGTGCCTCACTGTGTAAAAATTACAAAGAATTAAATATTTATATTAGTACAAATGATATTAAAATACCTAAGTTAGCTAAATAATAATTGTAGAATGTCCGAACCTAGATTATTAATTATAAATATATCAGTATTACTTGTCCAAACCTAATTACGAAGCATGATTTTTCGCCAAGTAGGATTCTGAAGCACCAGAAGCAGCCACGTAGGCTCATCGCATTCGGGAATTATATATAAGGAGGATTTAATTTACTTAATTACTTATTTTATTTTAATTAACTTTATCATAAACTTTTCGTTAAGGTTATCTTATATTATTCATTTCATAATTAACGTAATTTATATTATTTTAAATTAGTATTAATTTATTATAATTTTAATATGCCTTAGTTTTTCATTGTCTAATCTATTTTTACTTTTTAATTGAACTTTTATATTTAATTCATCATATTAATTTAACTTATTTTCATTTTTTGTATTGTATTTTAATCTATTTATAGGTTTTTTATTTTATCTATTATATAATATTATACTTACTATTTTATTTATTTGGATATTTTTTTATTTTATAAATGGAATTGCTTTTTTCTATTTACTTTTTTTATGATACATATTGTAATATGTACTTGTGTCGTCTGAAGGTGAAATGGTCATGGCAAGTTCTCTCTGGGCGCGGGTTCAAACCCACGCTTGGCGAACATTTTAATTGGCCACCAATTTAATTTGTGCAACAAAATTCAGAAGGGTAAAAAATAAATTACTAGTTCCACAAATAAAAATTTATATAATCTTCGTAACAATAGGTGTATCACAAGCACAGCTAAATTGGACGGAGAGGGGGAAATTGTGCGTCAAATAGTTGATATAAGGACTTTCGGGCATTTTTTCAAAACATAAGAGAAAGCGCGCAAATTAATTAAATTACAGGGGATTTTGAGCAATAAACCCCATTATTAATAGCTAAATATTATTGCTTAAAGGAACAGAAAGGGAAAGGCTAATACCTGCACAGGATACTGTAAAATCCAGCCAAGTACCGGAATATGATAAAGAAACACCTTGATTGAAGGCCAGAAACCACTGGTCATCACCATGAAATTCATAGTTAAAGAACATAAAAGAGTCAAGCTTATCATACCAAAAAGTTAATAAAATAAAATCAGAAGGATTCCGTACCCAAAAAGCACAAAGCAACCATAAATTTCAACAAGTATACCAACTACTGGCCAACGGACAAAGATAAAGAATATTCCAAGGAGAAATGAAACTGAACCCTGCAGAACAGTAAGCAACAATTCATTGATTCTTAAATTCTTCTAGGTCATAATAAGATAGGCATGTGCATTTTATTTCTTGTTCCTTTTTTTTTCAATAAATGATACAAAGAAAGAGGAGAAACAGGAGTGGTCCCTAGGCTTTTGTTATAATCTTTTTGAAAAGCTTACATCAAAAGACGTTCACAGTTGTTAGAGGATGAACTTGAGATTTTCAATGATTCACGAAGGGAAACAAAAAAAAAAAAAAAGATGGAAATATTATGGACTTTCCCATTCCCTTTTCTTAGTACCCTAATCCTTGCTTGTCTCAATAATAAATTATATCCTCATTCAATTAGGTAATAAGGGAAACTCCTAAAAGAGAATGAATAAAATCAGCGACTTTTGATCAAAATAAACCAAGATCCAAAAAGAAAGGAACAAAAACAGTCAATTTGTTGATTAACTCAAGAAAAAATTATATTAATTCGTCAATCAAATCAACCAAGATAGATTATTCATTATTTACTTCATGTTCGCCACTCTTGGGGTGCTCTTTTGATTAACATTTACAGAAGTACTCATAGCACTACATTGGAATGGCAATAATGGCTAAAACCAAGATACAATCTTAGAAAAGGTGATTATAAATCCAAAAACCGAGAAACCAACTCCTAAAGTCAGATACATTTACATGCATGATGCATTTGTGCCCTTAGCGAATACCTTATAGTTTCTTCTATTTGTGAAGAGTTGCCAAGTGGATCGCCAACCCAGTAAAATGGCTACACCTGCTAGCCAGAATATCTGAGGGAAAGGGCTAAACATAAATATATATTACCAGGGCAAAGAAGACAAAATGAAAGAAACTGAGCCATAAGAGTTGCCTTACATTTCCAAGAGCTAGCAATCCTCTGTCAAAAAATAAAATTATGGCCAAGAAGAAGAAGAATATACCAAACCCAACAAGACCGAGACCAATTTCTGCAAGCAGTTTTTCAACAAATTTGGTCCATTTAAGAACTAAATAAGAACATGTACAAAAGAATCGAGAACATCAATGTGCATTAAATAAGAACATACACCAGCAGAAGGTAGTTGAGTAATGTGCATTAAATTTGACAATGTCAAGAACATCAAACAAGACACATATATTGGTGATTTACCTTTGAGCATTAGCCATTACTATGGATCTATCTATCCATATTCTGCTCCGATTTATGAGACAGACCTGTGAATCCTTTTAAATCACATTGCACGAGATAAAGGCATACCTACTGCATCGAATGACCTATGCAAATTATTCCACTCCAGTTTAAAATATTCCACACAAGCATGTGATGGTTGATTCACAGCAAACTACAACTATATTCAATCATAGAAGTTTTTCCCAAAAATATTTTACCACGAAAGACTACTCAATTTAGATGAACCTTGCAGACAGGTTTAATATTTTTGATGGAGGATTGTGGGATCACCAAAAAGATGCAACATGCCAAACTAAAATCTCATTTGCAAGCCCATGGACAAACCCAGCAATCGGGTTATTATATACTTCTCACCCCAAACCCTGGAGCTATGGCAAATCATCTTAACCATCTGTTTGTATCAGTTTTCTCTCCCTTCTTCTATTCCAAGTTAATAATCCACCATATCGTACAACCTCAACTGCTGCTCATGCCTCATTACAAGTTTAGTAAAAAGGTCATAGAAATATCCACAGGAGAAAACCTTTCAGCAAAAAATTGAAAGAGTAAGTTCATAATATTTTTCTGATACACTATGAGTCACACCTTCAAATTGACCTGGGCTTTTTACTAGGATTTAATGTTTAAAAAAAAAAAAAACCCGAAAAGAATTTAATCTAAAAGCACTTAGCATGCATGGCAATCTGAATAACCAGAAAATCACACAGCACCAAACAACAGAAACCCAAACAAACAATTCGAGAAACCAACTATAGGCGATACCCATATTCTGTTAATTATAATGAGAAATTAATCTAACAAGTCAGTAATTCACCGGCTTATGAGTGGGTGTAGATTAGTGTCGAGAGCATTTGATGTATACTGAAAGTATGGTATTCCTGATATCAAGCTATGAATAGCTAATTTTTTTTCTTGTTTTTTTTCCATCTTTTCTTAGATAGTATGCCCTAAGATGATGTGTTATTACGGTGAAAGAAAAGTAAAACATAATTTCTACCAGGTTTTATGCTTAAAGAAAAAAGAAATGTGAATGAAAATAAAGTGAAAATTGGACGAATTAACATTGCCTAAGTTCATATCCATAAGAACAATAATTAAGATCCGCCTCTTTATCAAAATGACAAACCAATTACTACTACCACTAAAGAAAATATAAGTGTATCAGACAATTATACACAAACTGTGTAGAAGAAGAGGAATATAAAGCACCATATCAAATAACAATCAACAGTAGGGATGGAGAGGCGAAAACAAATTCACTCACTTTTTTGCTCATTCAGCTCATATGGCATCTTGCCCAGCAACAAACTACCCAAGATGATTATATTTCTGGCATGAAAATGCAGGAAATTGAAGATTATTATTTATCCGCTAAAAAATACCATGATGATATTACAAAGAAAGCGGCTGATAATTACCGGAAATGAAGACGAATGCCGCGACCCAAAATGACTTTTAGGGTCCGTTTCCTTGCCTTTATCAATCCTTATTATGAAGGGGGAAAAAGAAATTGTCAATCCAACTATAACGATTTTCACAAAACACCATCTTAATGATTTGTCAGAATGAATCGCTAGTTATCGTTCCTTTTTACTAGTCACCGTTTCCTTTTTACATTTTTTCCCTTAGCCCTATCTCTCTACTCTTTCTACTCTTTCTTTCTCTCTATGTTCACGAGACTTCAACGAACGATTCGAGCTTCAAAAAAATTCTGAAAAAATCTCGAAAAATCCTACGGCAAAGGCAAAGCATTCTACTCTAGTAAGGTATTTTTTTATATAATTTAAATATTTTTTTTAAAAAACTAAAAAAAATTATTGCCGCGTCTGGTCGGCGCATCCGGACGCGGCTCGGGCCGTACGGTCGGTGATCCCGTACGGCCCGCGGGCGACCGATCACCGCAATCGGTCGCCCCTTCATGCGTTCGGCCCGACCCGGTCGAATGCAGCCCTTCACGTTCGTTTTTGGGAGTCGGATGGACATGAAAAAATCTCCCCCCCCCCCCCCCCNNCCCGGCCGGTCCACGTCCATCTGGCCCCCCCGTGACCGGCCGGACAGAATTTTTTTATTATAATATATTAATAAATATAATAATGAAAATAATTATATTAATAACTATTATAATAAAAAATTTTAAAAAATAAATATTGTTAAATAAAAAAATTAAAATAATTATGTTAATTAATATTATATTAGTAATAAATACAAAAAATAAATAATTTATTTGATTAAAAATTATGAATTATCATAATAATAATAAATTACTAAATATTATTAATGAATATTACTTTAATAATAATACTTATAATCTAAAAGAAAAAATATTATATTAATAAATAAGAAATTATAAAAAAAAATTAATTAATAATAAAATATTAATTATAATAATTAAAAAAACTAGTGAATATCATAAAATTAGTTACTTAATATTGTAATAGTTATTACAATATTTTATTAAATTTGAAATTGATTAATAGTTCTTAAAATGTTATTATAAGTAAATAAATAAATTCTTAATTTAAAAAAAAAATATTTACAAAACTTTTTAAAAAAATTATATATACTAATTTTTATTCTAAATTGGTGAGTTAGGGTATTATTAGAGCTAGACAATCTGCCAGGGACGACGACGAGTTCGATGTGTTTATTGACGTTTCTGGACCCCGACACACGAAACGTAGGGGTATAGATGCGTTCGTTCGTCGAGAGCGACAGATCATTATCTATGAGGCTCAGAGGATACAGACTGGCCATACAGGCAGTTCGAGACTCCAGACACCTCCACTACTGGTTGGTAAGCAGGGATATGGTGCCACCTCTACAAGTTGGTCAGAGGGGATATGGTACACCACCAGTACCGGTTGGTCAGCAGGGATATGGTGCACCACCAGTACCAGTTGGTCAGCAGGGATATGGTGCACCACCACTGTACGATCTCAGTCACCATAGATATGTTTTTGTTGGCCAGTCAGGCAGTTCGATACCCCCTGCACCAGCACCAGCATCGGACGATCAGCAGGGATATTATGTTGATGAGTCTGTATCCCAGATGGATGAGGATTATGACGAGTCGGCATCTTCATATGATGAGGATGATGACGATATTCCTGCACAGGCTACGGTTCCTGTGCGGCCTGCGGCTCCTTCACAGCCTGTTCATCCTGCTCCTCCACGACAGGCTGGGGGGCGTTTTGCTAGCACTAGATCCTCAGGTAAATAATTTACGTATTTATTGTTGTTTGACATTAAATATTTCGATTTAATTATAACAAGTTATTGGTACTGTTAGTGACATTATGTTCTATCCTAATGCAGGTACTAGCAAACGATCTAGGATTGATCGTGAGGCAGACTGGATCGTTAGAGGTCTAGTGGCCAGTGGGCCCATGGATGACAGCGTGATCCCTAGCTTTTTAGGGCACGTAGCCTCCCGGTTGTGGAATGGAGAGTGTCGAGGCTTACTGAAATGCCATCACAGAGTGCAAGCGTTTGGTAATCAAAAAGATTGGCGAGGTAATATGTCTTCCGAGACACTTGATATGATCAAGGATACCGGACTGTCACATCTGGCAGACTCCATGCACGCCCACTTGGACACTCCACTGCTTACTGCATTTGTGGAGCGATGGCAGCCAGATACTAACTCGTTTCACCTGTCTTTTGGTGAAATGAGCATTATGTTGCACGATGTCCGGGCCATTTTGGACATTCCTGTTGAGGGATCCACGGTCGTTGAGGAGCTGGATACAAAGGCCTGCCAGGCTTACTGCATGGATATATTTTCGGTTAGTAAGGCTGACCTTGTTGGGACGTTCTGGAAGCGCGGTTCTGTGGGAGAAGGCTCCGTTGTGGAGAAATTCAGGGGTACAGACCAGTTGGCGTTGGATGAGGCCCGTGCCTGGATTTGTTTGTTGCTATCTACCACCTTGTTCGACGACAAGAGTGGTAGTAGAGTGACTCCCAAGCTCCTAGCTGAGGTGCTTAATGGCGTGGATTCCATTGGGGGTTACTCGTGGGGATCGGCTATGCTGGCATATTTGTACCGACAGTTAGGTATTGCCAGCAGAGGGGACTCCAGAAAACTTTCCGGCTGCTTGACTCTTATGCAGTCTTAGATTTACGAGTATTTTCCCGATTTCTGATCCCAGGGGGGCGTCTACCCCTCGGTCCTAACGACTCCGCACAATCTCAGATGTGGAGCCCATCGGCGGGTCAGAGGAAGGACGAGCGTCTCACATCCATCCGTCGGAGACTTGACATGCTCACTGCCTCCGATGTACATAAAGTTATTTTATTTTAAATTTAGTTACTCGTTATTTAAAATAATATAAATATTATTATAAATTTTTTTATGCAATTGTGAATAGGTGCAATGGTTGCCATACGACACCTCTAGCCCACATGAGATAGAGCCGAGGACCCTTGATTGCGGGTTAATTCGGTATCGCGATATCGTCGAGCCGTATTTTCCTGTGCGGTTTCTGCGGCAGTTGGGGTATGTCCAGACAGTCCCTCCCCCTATATTCACGCCAATCAGTGTATGTCGTCCTTGGGAGTCGAGGCTCTACAAGGTTGAGCATTCTGATGTCACTGCAGTATCTATGTGGAACCAGTTCTTGGTCTCGCATACCGTCAACTACAGTATGTATAAGGTCAGTACAGATGATTGAGCAGAGGCGACTGCGGAGTACATGCAGTGGTACCGTTGGGTTTCCCATCCTAAATGTTTGGACGAGAATCTGTCGGACCAGAACGAGGTCCCTACGCGTGCCAACAACGACTATGTAACTCTCATGCTAAATTGTAGTTGTTATTTGATTACAATAATTTTATATTTTTATAAATATTTATCATATATTTTTTTCCTTCCATTTTTTTATAGTGGGTGGACCGTATTGCCAGCCTTTTTTTCGAAATCCTTGCGGGATTTTACAGGTTATGATCGTAGATGAATTGGCTAAATTTAAGGCGGATTATGCCAAGTCAAAATAATTATGTAACGAATGTTTTTTTTATTGTAAAACATTAATGAGATTGGTGTGTATTTTTCCTTTTTTCTTTAGACTACATTATTTGAAATCAAATATTCCATAACAATGATGTTTGACATAATCAATGTGAAAATAGTGATAAAAAAATATATGGTTCGGCTACTCCACACGAGTCGTGTGGGGATTATAGGTCGGAGTTTAGTGCAAATTTAATCTACAGGAAACGTTAAGAGCCTAATTAGATAGAGGGATTCGTTAGCGACGCGTAGGAATAAACGGAACTTAATTCTTAGTTCGGACGAGACCAAACGAGCCCAAAACGTAGTGTGGCGCAGTGCAGCCCAGAATCTCGTGATTCGCAACATTTGTGTCATGAGTCGCGACTATAGTCGTGACTCGCGAGATGAAGTCGTGAGTCACGAATTTGGCTGTTTCGGCTCCGTTAAACTCGCGAGTCGTGAGTCTAGACTCGCGAGTCACGAGAGAATGGCGCGAGTCATGAGTTTAAGTCGTGAGTCGCAAGTTTGACAGAGCCAAAAGTGCCAGAATCTCGCGAGTCGCGACATAAGGTCGCGCGTCGCGAGTACAGTCGCGAGTCGCGAGACGCGAGTCGCAAATTTGGCTGTTTCGGCTCTGTTAAACTCACGAGTCGCGAGCCGAAAGTCGCGAGTCACGAGACAATGTCGCGACTCGCGAGTTTGACAGAGCCAAAGTGCCAGAATCTCGCGACTCGCGACATGAAGTCGCGATTCGCGACTTTAAGAGACTTTGTTTTATTTTTGCTCGTTCGTACTCATTTTAGCTCTGTTTTTTGCGCACTATATATCAAAACGATCCTTAGCCCCTGTTTTAGCTCGTTTTTTTGTTGTTCAAAATTTATGACATTACCCACAATTCCATAACAATAAAAATAATAACAAAAACCGAATAATATTCGTCTTTTATTCATCAAGGAATATTTTGTTCCTCAAACCACAATTACAACCTACGCTGGTAGTGATTCTCCCAACCCTGAATCGAATTAGTTCGGTACCTGAACCTGAAAGGATGAATAGACGGTAATGGACAATCATGAGTCAAATCTACTCGAATGTAGTGCGCGTAGCAACCAAGATGACAGATCCCAATCTCACGTCATGGTCGTGTAGCCGTCGATGGTGCAGAGAGCAGCAATACTGTCCAACTTAATTGGTTGCACTGTTTACCATCAGGACCAGATCATAACAAAATGACAGCCGTATTAAATAGAGTTGCAACAGGGAAGAGGTCGAATGGAGTATCCATCTAGTGATGTTGGCCACAAGGGCCCCCGTCCCACCTTATTCGAACTAGATTGGGGTCGATATCTCTGAAATAGATATACTCATACAACTAACGGTGGTTGTAAATCTCATTGGCAAGGTTCTCTTGTACGAGTTGCCACATCTCCTGGTCCTCGTAAATGTAACTCGCTATAACCCAAAATCCACAGTTACCATCATTCACATTCAAGTAGCTCACTACGTGCTCCAATATATGCCAAGGAATACTATTCTGGAATTCAAAACCAAATATATCTGTCGCCATACCAGCTGAAACATCATAATAATAATTTCACGTCACAATTTATATAATATAATTTATATTAACACTTTAATTAACATTCAGTTGTATAAAAAAATATCACCTTGTGGTGCCTCTTGTGACGGTTGAGAAGACTGGCTGCTTGTGGGTCCACGCGAAGAAGTGGTTGTCGTTCCGCGCGAAGAGGTGTTTGTCGATCCGCGCGAAAAAGTTCTTGTACGGCCCACCGGACGACCTCTCGAATTATCTCTGTACTCCCAGCGTGATGGTTTACGCTTAGTCGAATCGCTTTTCTTCGGACGACCTCGCGTATTTTCTTTAACCTCAGGTTCTGCATAAGCTTGTTGCTCCGGGTAAACCTGAGCATACATGAGGTGATTCATGTAGCGAATCGTCGTAGGATTGCCCTCTTCAACCTCTTGGACAAAC